GAACCCGGAGGAGGCCTAATCTGTGTGATCTAATGGGTCTTTGGGAGGTAATTGGCAGCAGGTGGTCTCTCAAGTACCCAGGTCCAATACCATCAAGTCATGGATCAAAGAAGAGGAGTCATTATCTATGTTGCCACACTGCACCCACTATTTCCCCCCTCTCCTTCTGCATCCTCAAACTTCATTAGAACTTCTTTCCCTAGGAAGGTTTCTTAAGAAATTGACCAGATTTCCTAGCATATGATAGTAATTTTCTAAAAAAAAAAAAAAACCCTCACGCCTATTAGGCAAATATTTTACTATCCAGAGAAGTAGGGAACAAACATAAAGCAGATCAGCAGAACCTCGTGTCCGTAAATTTGCCTCTGGACCAGAGATGAACAATCTCTGGCTCACAACAGCCTACCCTTAATAATTCTCCAGGGAAAGAGGGCTACTGAAGACTTTTAAGTAGGCAAAGTAGGCAAAACTGTATCTTGTGGGCTGGCATCCTTCCCCCCCCCCCCCCGGCCCCGATTTTGAAAACCGTTTGCATTTTACAGTACCCATAATAGGAAATTGCATCTCTCCTGTTTGATTGGGGAGGGGAATCCTACAGTTCTAGGGACCCCGTCTTCCACTTTTGGTTTAGGTGTCTTGAGCCCTGAAGTTCAGATGCCCGAATGGAACTTCTATATAGGAGGCGGCTAGAATTCTCAGGAAAGAATTTGCACGAGCTGTTTTATTCCCCACTTGGGAAAGGCAATATTGGATCATAATGCATGTGGATTTTATAAGTACACACACTTTAGATCAATCTGCACTAGAGGTGGTATTCTCCCGGTTCGGGTGAACCAGTAGTGGCGGCAGCGGGAGGCTCCGCCCACCTGCCCAGATATCATCAGGGACGCTCTGTGCATGTGCAATGCATGCTTCCGGTTCCGAACTGGTTGCAAAGGTAAGTGGATTTCATGCCTGGTCTGAACTGGGAAGTACATCATCAGTTCCTGGGCCTTGAGTTATCATGTAATTCCAATTTTAACATATTTAACTGTTGGTAAAGTCAACCTCAACTTGAATGATTTGAGAGTGCTGTTTATTCTTAAATTGAAGGGAAGAGTAAGGCTATGGCTGTTCCTTCTGATAGGGATGTACCATCTGAGGCCCCGAGGTTGTCAGTGGCCATTTAAAAGCTTGAGGGTGGTAAAAAGAACACTTTTAAAAGCTGCCACCAAATTGCAAAGTTTTATGTGACAGACAAGCCAATGGCTTTCTGCATTTTAATAGGCCATCGCGTGCATGCATTATTTCAGATACCACTATCTGTGGCTTCAGTCATTACATTCCAACTGACTCACAGGTATGGGAAAAGCACTCTATGCCAGCCTTTTCCATTTAGATGTCCACCAACTGGTTTGAACTAGTTCCCATCATCCACCCACCTACCCCAGACCACAAGCTCTTTGGCCACAGGCAGACTGATGGGAGGACTACCAGGCTGATGAAGGCTGGTCAAAGTTCTGGCTCAGAATCGCCTCAATGCGTCTCCTTTACAAGCAGCTGACCCCAATCTCAAGGGAAAAGGCTGCCCCATCCTTGCCCCAGCCATCCCCCAGTGTTAATAGGGTTAGACATGCAGCATGAGACAGAGCTGCCCTTTTCAAGGCTTCCTCAATCATTAAGCAGTAAGGCTAAATAAATACACGCTCTTTATTCATCTGTAATTTATGTACATTGGCAAACAGTACAGGCTTTCTTTGATTGTTTTCCTTAAAAAAGCAGAATTCATTAAAAAAATGATTAGCAATGTAAAAAACATGTACATACACACTCACACACATCACGGTGACTTGTGTTTATCCTCCCCACTTCAAAAGGAAACGAAATGCACCCAACACACGCCCACCCCCTTCACACACACTCCAGGGTTAGTGTACTCCCCCTCAACCACCAAACCTCGTAGGTGTAAAACGCATAAGGATTAGGGAGGGGCAGTTCACACCCCCAAAGGCCTTATGTATTAACGTAAAAAGGAAACTGAGCCAGTGAAGGGCCCCGACTTCCCAGAATCTCAGCCTTTCTTACCTTCCTGCCGCTTGTAGGTTCAAAATTTACACAACATGTGAACCATCAAGCTGGACAGTTAGTGTGCGCCTGTACAGATGGTTGCCTGAAAGTGCACATCAAAGGGAGACCTCTGTTTGGGAGTGAGGGTGGGTGAAGAGGGAGGACACATACTTGAAATGGGCTTTAGACGTTCACTAAGAACCCTGTTTTCATTTAATCACCTCTTCTCCTGGCAAAGTACAAAAGGAATGAATGGCACTCAGATTCTTAGCTTCTGCCCCATAGACTCCCCAGTGGTTGAGCTGGAGATCCAGAAGGCCAATTTTGGCTTTCTAATAGCCACAGCACCAGCAGATGGTGGTCCTTTTAATCTCTGGCTGATGCAAATTTCCCTTCCCATACTATATATACATTATATGCCCATATCCGGTGGCTCTATCCTAATAACCTTTACCCTGAGATTCTTCTTACTTCAAGCCAAGTGTCCCTTATGTGAAATGAGACAACCTGTTCCAGTCCATCTTCTCTGTCCGTAACAAAACCTTAAATTAATTACTAATGATTGAACATTTGCCCAATAATTCCCAAACATTTAATATTCTAAATATACACTGAAGGAAGGAAAGAATTAACTACACCTCAAACTCAGTTCCCTTTCCACAATGATCCAACAGCATTTGCTAAATGGTCAGAGCTGGAGAAGGAACAAAAGCAGAATGCCAAGCAACTCAAATACCCAACACCTTGATTTCACTCGCCTGGTACTGCCACATGCACGCACCCATACACCACTTTTCTTGTTCAGTTTTCATCTGCTTACAGTAGATAAATTTGACAATTTATGAGCAAACAGCTCTAAACAAACTAACCCCTCTAACTTTTATATACCTGGCATTTAAAAAACATTGGTATGTTCTCAAAGGGAAAATGACTTTTTTCTTCACATTTTTCTCTTTATGTGCGTGTGTGCACACACACACACACACACACGTATGTTGTATTTGTGCTAACAAAGGCAACAGTAAAAATATTGGGTTTCTGTCTGGATGGTCTCTTGTGACGAGCCGATGGACAGAGAATGGAAGCAGTGAACTTCCTCCCATATTTGGGCATACCAGGGGTTGTGACTTTAATGTATGTATATATGTATGTATGTATGTATGTATGTATGTATGTATGTATGTATGTATGTATGTATGTATATATATATATTTGTGTTTTTTTATTTTTTATTTGTGCTG